TCTCTCAGAAATAGCAGCCATTGCTCAGCACCAGGGAGATACTGCGCAATGTTCCGGTCCCAGTGTGCCATTACCTGAATGTGTAACTTGGAGCAAATCCCTGCCATACCCCTCATCTCAATGTCCCCACCAGTGCAATGAGGGTCTTCCCAGTTCTGAGGACCTTGCCTGCCTTCCAGTCTGGGTGGGCCTGCTTCTCTGACAATGGGGCCTCTCTGACCAGCCCACACACAAGGAAGGATAGGAGATGACGTGGTTGGTGTCCAGGGCCCTGAGGACTCAGCTCTGGCTGCTCAGTCCCCCTCCCCTGACACAAACAACCCTCAGTTACCTCCCCCTTCTACCCCACAGAATCTGGGCACAGCTGGGGCTTGCCATGCCTTAGCCACCCCATGAATCACCCCTCTATGGTCCCCGGGGGAGTAGTCCAGGGAGCATCCTACGCTCCACAAGAAGTGAGGGTCAGAATTGCGGCCCTCAAGCAGGCAGTGTCCACAGAAACAATGGGGGCCTGTGGCTAACGACCGGAATGCAGCCATTGTTCCTGCCCTGGCCCCCAACCCCAAGGCTTCAGGTCCCCAGGCCAGGCAGGCTGGCGTGGGTCAGTGCGTCAGGCATTCGTGTGCCAGGGCTGGGCACACATGACCTGCAGCTTCCCCTCCCTGGGTAGGCAGGCGGGTAGACTGATGGCCCAGACCCCACCTCCACAACCAACCTCACAAAGGATCCCCAGGCACAGAATGAGAAGCAAGATGGGACCCAAGGGAGCTAAGGCAACCTCCAGCCTACCCATCCCTGGGATACTTGGAGCCTAGCAGCTCTGAGACCCAAGCTATACATCACAGTGGGGAGGGGACCACATTAGAATAATGCAGGATTAAAGTGGAGTTGCTATAGCGACGTATTAGGGCAATACATCTAGGGAGCCCCAGCCCTTTGGTGATGTATGACTCTGTTCAGCTGTGGGGAGCAGGGGGAGGGGACCTGTCCCACCCCTCTAAGGGAGAGCAGATACCAAGCACTCTCTTCATTGGGGGAGAACATCTGCTTTGGACTCTAAAAATAGACATTTCAGAACCTGTCAAAACTGAAAGAGACGTCCTGCCAACCTCCACCATCCCACTGTCCACCACATTCAGTTCCTGGTCAACTTCAAATCTAGCTCTGACCTTAGCCTCAGCCTTTGCCTGTGCTCCATCCCCAACCCTAGCCCATGAGTCACACTAAGCCTCCATCCAGCCCAGCTCCTCCAGGCCCTGACCTTTCTGCTTCATTGCTAAGGACCATCCCCATATTGTTTCCCCAAGTATCTGATGGTATTCATAGGACTATATGGAGGAGATCAAGGAAGAGGACGGGAAGGAGACGAGATGGTCCACAAACACTCCTCAGGCAAGGCCACTGGAAAGTTCATCTGAGAGAAGTACAGGGAGTGATTCTGAGGGACCTGAACCATCCCTCCTTGCCCGGAGGCCTCCCTGTGCTAATGCCTGACATCCCATTCCATCTAATCTAAGTCTGGAGATCTTGCTTCCCTCCACATGCTCTTGGGGCCACAGAAAGGCTGTACAGGTGGCCCTAGTAGAAAAAAAATGATGGGGCTCCCAGAAAAGAAAAACAACAATAAAAACCTTTACATATTTGTATTGATATGTGACAAAATCGGGTGGTAGGCTGCCTTCCAAGCTTGCTATCAAGTCATTTGTACTGGCTTGCCCATCTCTGAGGCCCTGAACCTCAGCCCCCTGGGGACATGAAGGGAAGATTGCTAAAGATAACCCCCTTTGCTGCACCTACCTCAGCATTTTGGTGAGGGAGGAGGAGCAAAGGCAAACCTGTCCAAGAACTGTAACTGCCTCCCTTGACTTTCCCTGGGTACCCTCATCTATATATTGTGTATGTGTATGTGCATGTATATGATTATATGTATATGTGTGTGCATGCCCTGCCTCTTCACTGAATGGTAATTTTGAATTAATTCATTGAGTACAGTAATTACACAACTCCCCAAATTCATTCATTGTCATTCTCTCTCTCTCTCTCTCTCTCTCTCTCTCTCTCTCTCTCTCAACAGGTTCTTGTGGCCCAAACTGACCTTAATTCTCAAGATCCTCCTGCTTCAGCCCCACTAAGTGCTAGGATTACAGGCATGAGCCCCCATACTGGTTTTAGCCTTCTGTTGTCTTAGTTTTAGGTTCTGGGTGGTTTGTTTGAGACAGAGTCTCCCTGTAGTCCTGGCTGGCCTAGAACTCCCTATGTAGGCCAGGTTGGCCTCAAACTCCCAGAGATCCACCTGCCTCTGCCTCCTGAATGCTGGGACTAAAGGCACCTGGCCTGGTTTTCCTTTTGAAAGTGGCATTGCAGTTCTATTACAGTTTGGACTCCAGCTGGAACTGAAAGATGTGACCACTAGAGTCAGCCCCAGTCACCACCACCTTACTTTCCTTCCAGAAAGAAAGAAGACTCAAGTCAGAGGATGAGGCAAAGAAGGGGACAATGCCCTTTACCTGGCCTCATCCCTGGTACTGTCCTCACAATGGAAGAAGTAAGGCTTTTGCTCCTGACTGGGAAGAACCTAGGGCATTTTGTCTCTCCTTGTCTTTTCATCATCTCTGTTTCCCGTCTCTCTCTCACACACACACACACACACACACACACACACACACACACACACATAAATACAACACAGTACACATATCTCACACATGGTAGAACAGAAGAAAGACTAAATGGAGAAGGTAGGTGGAAGACAGAGTATGTGCCCAGAGGGCAGTTCCTAGGGTCAGGTGGCAGTGTGCCCAGGGTACTGAGTGGGCAGGAGACCTCATGGCTTCCTCTCTTCCCTAGCCAGTGACCAAAGGTCAGCTCAGGCGGCTCAGCCACGTGCAGTCCACCCACAGCCCTGGTCAGGTCATGTGAGACCAGGGCTGAAGCCTTATTAACACTCCATTGTCTCCCAGAGCCCAGCCTGTGTGGAGGGAGACAAACCCCCTCTAGCCTAGGCTAGCTGGTGAGTCGCCAAAGCCTTGATCACCTCCTGAGATGTCTCCTCTCTGGGGTCCCTCAGCTCTCATCACAAGGACAGTGATGCTCAGCTGGACCCCATTCCTCTTTAGAACTTCACACCCTCCTCTGCAAAGCAGAAAGGAGCAGCACTGAGATGGGGAGCAGGGAAGGGTCCTCTTTCTCCTGCTCCCTAAAGGGCGTATATGCTATCATGCAACCCCAGTTCCCCACCCTGCCCATTCTCCAGATGCTCTGTGAGAAAAGAGAGTGCAGTAGAGAAGGCTGAAACACAGCCCTGAAGGTCATCTTGCACGTCAGTACTGGGAGGGCCCCTGGAGCCCCTTGTGCCCTGGCTCCCAGCCTGGACCACAACACAGGCTCCATTGACTCCTGTATGCCCTCTTTCCCAACATGCCCAGAAAGCCATGGTCATGGTTCCTGCCCACAAGCTCTGAAGCCATAGGACCCACCCAGGAAGGAAACTAGAACTGGTCAGAGGGACAGATACTATACCTGCACAGGAGTCTCCCTAGTCCAGGCTGAAGGTCATGGTCAAACTCTAGGCCCTATCCTACACAGTCAAATGGAGAGCCAGCTAGGGCACATTCTCTGCCAATGCCGTCTCTGCCCACACACAGTCCTATATACACTTTAAGTCCCTGCCATTAAGATATGGGGCAAAGCCACCCTAGCCCACTCTCTTGTCTCCTACCAGGGAATCAGGTGAGACAGGAGGGTTGTGCCTGGGGGAGGGGCACTGGAGGGAAGCTGGGGCTGAGAAGCTCCCGTCCCTCTGGGGGCTCTCAGTAAGGGGAGGGCTGGCCCGGCAGGATGACAGAGAGATGATTAAACCCACAGAGAAGATTGATAAGGGAGCTAAACAGCTGCAACTCTGCAAGGTGGGCTGGGGACAAATCTCATCTTGTCCCAGCAATGCTCAAAGCACTGGGGGGCTGGGCCAGCCTGGCTGTGCTCATGACCTGTACAAGCTCCAGAGGAGGAGTGAGGGGCTGGAAGACTGCTCCCCACTTCTCCCTCCAGGGCCTCTGATGGTAGCTTCCAGAGCTCAATCCCCCCAAGTCCTGCAACCCAAGAGACTCCCACCCCCTTAACACCTGGGCAGCACACCCCTTCTCACCGGTGCCCCCTTTACCCACAGCATCTCTGCCTTAGCTCTCACTCTCGTTATTATTAGATGTGATTTACAGCGGAAGCGCTGAGTCAGACAAACCAAGATTTCCCCAGACAGAGGCAGTAGGAGAGAAGAGAGTCCAGGGGAGCTGGGCATGGTCCTCAGGAGGGAAGCAGGAGCTGGGCGTGTGGGACTCCAACTTCTAGAATGAGCAGTTGCTTCTGCTGTTTCTCCTTTCTACTCTAGGCCCAGAATCTTGACCTGGGACTCTTGGACATTCAGACCCCTTTTCTGACTCTGACCTGACCTCTGAGCCTTGGTTTTGGTCAAGTCTGACTCTGATAAGTTTGAGAGGAGAGCTCAGGAGTCCTGATGCCTAGAAATGAGGTGGTTGTGCTACGCCCTGTGTCATCAGAAAGGCTCCTGGTTCTCAAAGCAGCCTCAGGCTCCCAGGGATGGAGAGAGGCAGGAAAAGGGTTCCAGCACCGCCCCATCCCAACTCTGCAAACAGAGAAACTAAGCATCAAGATCATGGGTAAGGGGGTTGTTCAATGGCCCAGGAATTCGAGGAAAGCACGTGTTTGTGCCTCCACCTCATGCAGGAGAGTGGTGGGCAGGTCCGTCTCTGCTCCCTGGGTCTCTGACTCCCTGGCAGGGAGGAACTGGGCATTGTTGCCAAAAATAAACGTTCCTTCTCCCGCTCCCTGGCTCCCGGCTCCCGCTCATTAGGATGCGTGGCGTTTGGCTGCGGTCCCACACCTTGCAGCTCATTATAAATATGCAGTCGCTGCTGGCGCTACCCCAATCATCTCTGCAATCAGAGCTTTTAATTAGGTTAATTAAATTGTATCAAATCTCGCAGGGACGCAGTTCACTGATGCTGATGAGGCAGCCAAAACAGACCCCAGCTCCTTGGCTAATGAAGGCCGCTGCCTGCCTGAGCAGTGAGGGGGCAGGAGCGCATAATAAATGGGCGCGTCCTCTGGGAGGAGCGGCTGCCCAGGCCCAAGCTCTGGGGACCTGGTAAGGGGTCTTCATCTAGCCGGCCAGGTTCCTGCTGCAGCAGTCTCCAGCCCCAGGGACTATCACCTTCACTGGAGAACCAACCAAGGTAGCCACACCAGGAGCCCAGACAGGTGGGCAGTATTAGGCCTGAGCACCTGCCACCCTACAGAGCACAGTGTCCTCCAGATCCACTAGATCTGGGGGCTTATTTTTACTTCTCCCCCAGAATAGCCTAAAAGGCTAGGACTTACACACACACACACAAGCCTGTCACTGTCTCCTTGGCTGTCTTATTAGCCTGAAAGGCCAGGCTGAGGCTAGGAAACCCATCCCAGCAACTCACCACTGCTGGCCCAGTATCCATCTGCCATGGAGGCCATCTGCCCCTGGCAGGGGGTGGCTTATAATGCTACCAAAGACTGGAGGGGGTGGCACCCCCCTCTCCAGCCTCCATGTGCCAGATGGACCCTATATTTTCCTTTCTACCACTCTACCTAAAAAGCACTCTCCAAGGAAGAAACTTATCCCACACCTATAGCATCAAATAAGCTAAGTGAGATGACCCTTAACTGCTCTGGCTCCTCCCCATCCTGAACTGACCATCCCATGACCAACAATCTATTGCTGGCCACTGGAGCCCATAGGCTCCAACTCTGGAGCCACCTGGGAAGGTCCTCGCCTGCCTTGAAGCAGAAAGGCAGATACTTCCCCTTCAAAGGGGCTGTCCCTGACATTGCTCAGCCTGGTCCAACCCCTTCCTCTTAACCCCTCAGTCTCTGGTTGGTGTCTCTGAACAGATGAAGAGAGATGGGGGAAATTTTCACTGCTCTTGAAACAAAGTTGTTTCTGCTGTAGAAGCTGGGTTTTTCTGGTTTAGAAAGCCTTTTTTTTTTCCACCCAGCAATGTGAAAACATGAAACCTGAAACCAACCCCCAACATTTGTCACCTCAGAGAAAAGGCTTTGGGGTAACTGGAGAAAGCTGTAAATGAGTCAAGCTGGCTGGGGGCAAGGGGGTTGAAAGGGGGCTGCCCACCTGTTTCCAGGCACCATGGTTCTATTAACATTGATGATCTGAGTAAGGCCATCAGGTGACAGAGATGCAGGAAAGGGCTTTCTTCCCACCTTCCTTAAATTCCCAAACCCTGCTAAATCCTTCATTCTGTTCTAGACTAGCCCCTACCACCACCTGACAGAAGCAGGGGGCTCTGGACTGTACTACCCCAGGCACCAGTGTGTGCCTTCTCGTGACAAGATATGGTTACCACCATTGCCAGGGCCATCAAATGAGGCAGACCCAACAGAGAGAACAGATGGTATAGCTGGGACAGGACCTCCCCGAATGCCATGATGGTGGACCTGGAAAAAAGGGGCATCGGGATTCCTTGAAGAAGCAGCAGGAGAAATGTATTTCCTCTGAGAGGCAGTTTAGAGGAAACAAGCAGAAGCCTGACCCAGGCAGCTGCTTCTGCTCTCCTGTCTCAGCAGTGGACTGGATCGAGCCCAGCCTTGTATATGCTAAGCAAATGTTCTATCACTGAGTGCCACTCCAGCCATGGACTTAGAAGCAGCTTTGCCTCTTCTTGTTGCACAGCTGCTGTCATCCATTCGGTTACAGATCCAGAAGCTAGTGGATACCGTGCCAGCAAGGAGGCCCCATGACCTGGCTGGTTAAGAGAGCGCACCCTCTGACCCCAGAAGGCAGCTGCAAAACCCAAGAATCCTGCCAGCTCAGCCTCAAGACAGGATCTTAGTTCCGCCCCCATTCCTCCACTCACCTGTGGCTTTAAGCCAGGACTCCCACCCAAGGCTGGGCCCGCCCGCCCACCTGCCCTTCCCCAACGCCCTGTGTACAAGGTTCCAGGAACTGGCAGGCTAAGAGGTCTTCTGGAGGAAGAGAGCCCAGAACTACACACCTACTTGCCTCATGGTTTCCAAGTCCCAACAGGCCCTGGCCTCACCAGCCTCCACAGGCAGGCAAAGCAACCTGTGTGTTGGCCGCCTTCCCTGATGAGACATGCAGCTCTGATTGTTCAGTGACCCACAGCCAGCGGCACAGGGAGAGAGCAAGTCACAAGCAAACCCTCAAAACTTCACAGAGGGAGACCTCCTAGGATGTCCTGGTGAAACCAGCTCTGGGAAACCTGAGGCCCTGTTGGGGCCTCACTAGAAATAAGCTATGATGCTACACTCAAGAAGGGGAAAAACTTTTTTCATGAGGCTCTACTCCATGGCATTAAATTCAATGAACAAATCCACCGTGAACATCTCTGAAGTGCGTGGAGCTTCTGACAGAAGTTAAGTGTGCTAAGACAGTGGACACCAGCTCCCTGAGAACCAGCAAAGGGACAGCAGCTCCACCTGCTGGGCCCTTTCCCACCCCATCACCAGGCTTCAGTGCCTTACACCTACAGAAAATCGGAAAGATTCTTTGAGAAATAAAGCAAGAGTTTGGCACCCTTCTGTTTTAGTCAAAAGGACCCTAAGATGTAGTCATGAGCTGACTAAGCTGGCTTCAGAGACCCTCTCTTGGACAAATCCAGGGTTCCACAGGGCTCATGTAGCTGCCACTTTGAAGGTTTGGTTTATACTGACATGAACCAGAGTACTGAGTCACAGTCCACCTCCACAGCTGCCCACAGCCCCTTGGCACAGCCAGAGTGGTATGCCATGGAGGGAGGTTGGTACTAAGAAAACAAATTCTATTCCCAGCGAGCCAGGAGTCCGAAGTTCCATTGAGCACCAAGCCTTGAAGTCTAGCCTGTTCTCGGAACCAGGAACTAGAACCTGTAAAGGGCTAATGACAAGGGGAAGAAACTCTCCCCCTTAGACTCCTCGAGCCTGCTGGGCATGACGGTTCATATCCGTAATCCCAGCACTAGGGAAGATGAGGCAGCAGACCAGTCTGGGATAGTGAGTTTCAGGTCAGTCTGGCTAGTTGTGAGACCCAGTGTCAAAAAAATAAAAACCAGAGGGCTGGAGAGATGGGTCAGTGGTTAAGAGCACTGGCTGTTCTTGCAGAAAGCCCAGGTTCAATTCCTGGTACCCACCTGGTAGCTAACAACTGTCCCTAACTCCAGTCCCCCGAAGATCTAACACCCTCTTCTGACCTCTGAGGGCATTGCATGACACAGGTGCACTTACACATAAGTAGGCAAACACTCATACACATAAAATAAAAATAAATTTTTAAAAAACTCTAAAACTGGGGCTAGAGAGATGGCTCAGCAGTTAAGAACACTGACTGAAGACCCAGGTTTGAATGCCAGCACCCACATGGCAGCTAACAACTGTCTCCAATTCCAGGGGATCCAACAGCCTCTTCTGTCCTCTGAGGGCAATGCATGACACAGGTGCAACTTACCTACATGCAGGCAATACACACATATACATAAATAAAAAAATTTTTTAATTCTAAAACTGGGCATAGTGATGCACATCTTTAATCCCAGCACTCAGGAGACAGAGGCAGGTAGATTTCTGTGAGATCACGGCCAGTCTGGTCTACATAGGGAATTCCAGGTCAGCTGTGGCTACCGGGAGACTGTCTCAAAAAAAATAAAACATAAAAAAAAAAAATCTTTGGGCCCCAAAGATACCCCACAGTGGCACAGCAACTCAAGATACCTAGTCTTGTTCCTTCAGTTTTGATTACCTCCAGCCTGGAAGCTATGGTACTCCAAACATGGTGGACTTTCCGGTTCCTTCTGGACTGAGGACATGCCCCTTCAAGCATCGCCATTGGTGTGCATGTATGCCAGAGGGAGCACAGATGTGCCCATACCTGTTTATGAAGCCCGAGTTGTGTGTCTCATGCATCTGTTGAGAGCCTGTGCAACATGTGTGCTTGTGTGGGTGTACATATCACAAGAGGGCATCCAGGTACACTGCCTGTCCTCCCCACCTTCCTACCCAGGAGTGGCCAGAGTCAGCGCAGCAGTGCTCAGCTCTTCACCCCAGAAGAGACAACTGCATGGTCTAATTCCTCAGCTTGTTAAACAACCGAGATTCTTTCCAGGAACCACTTAAATGTACTGCTAACTTCACACCACTCCAGCCACTATTACCTAAGTTACCAAACATCCCCAGGATGGATGTGAGGCTCAAAATATTGGTTGTGTGTGTGTTTCCCTGTAGCCTCAGCTGGTCTGGAGCTTACTATGTAGACCAGGAACTCACAGAGATCCACCTGCCTCTGCCTCCCAGGTGCTGGGATTAAAGGCTACACTACCACACAAGGCATGTTTTGACTGAGCTCAGCACTTCCTCACAAGGGAGTTCACAGAGGGAAAGCTTCCTTCCTGAAAGCAAAAGCTAACTTCTGCTCCCCTGAACTTTATTTTTAGGGATCCCAGATCTGATCCAACTGTGTGTATTCTGAGAAAATAGGCATTCATTCAAGGTTTTACACAGGAACCTAGTAGTCATGGTCACTAAGTAATAATACTAATTTCTTAAAAATCTATCAAACCCATGCCGCTATTCCTCCTCTAGGAAGTGAGGTGTGAACAAGCCTTCCAGAACCTTGTTCTCTGTTCTCCTACATTTGCTCTAAGCACGTTCAGTCCTGTTCTGACTGGCTATGGCCTACCATCCCCATGTATGGGCAAGGAAGGGAAGGGTGGGACCCTGGAAAGAGAAGGAACTGCTCCATATAGCTCAGGGTCTGTATTCTCAGGTGAAGCCATTTATAGCCTTGGAATCAGCAGGTGGCCAGGAGTACAGAGGGCAGGAACAGAGTCAGTTCTAATCTGGTCTGATGTGAGCTTCATATTTAAATAGGTGTCCCTGTGGGCTCCTACTTCCAAGAGTTTCTATCTCCACATGTTAGGAGAGGAAAAAATTTACTTATGAGGTCACCCAAATAAACAATAAAATGAGAATGAATAAGGATAAGATCCATCCAGCCTCCATATAAAACATTAAATCAATAAAAACATTTTAGCTAAGTGTAGCATTATGTCTAGAATCTTAGCACTTGGGAAATAGATGCAGGAAGACTGGGCGTTCAAGGTCATCCTGAGTTACATAGTTAATTTTGGTTTTTTTGAGACAGGGTGTCCCTGCAGCCCAGCTGACCTGGAACTTGCTATGTAACTCTAGCTGGCCTCAGTCTCGGAGCTCCACCTGCCCACCTGCCACTGCCTCTTGAATGCTGTGATTAAAGGCATGTGCCACCATGCCCAGCAATACATGGCTAATTTGAGGTCAGCCTAGACTATATGAGACCCTGCCTCAAAAACAAATACACACACACACGAGCTAGAAAAATGGCTCAGCTCTTGGAGAGGACCCAGGTTCAGTTCCCAGCATCTACATGGTGGCTCACAACGATCCATTATTCCAGTTCCAGGGGATCCTATGCCATCTTCAGGCCTCCAAAAGCACTGCATGTCATGAGTACACTTATACACATGCAGGCAACACATACACACACACACACACACACACACACACACGAACAGGCTCAGTTGATAAAGTTTGCCATGTAATAAGAGGACCCAGAACTCACATTTAAAAAGCCAGCACTGAGGCTGGAGAGATGGCCCAGCAGTAGCACCCACATGGCAGTTATGAACCATCCTTAACTCCAGTTCCAGGGGAATCCGAAGCCCTCTTCTGACCTCCGCAGCATTGCATGATATGGATACACTCACATATGTGCAGGCAATACACTCATACACCAAAAAAAAAAAAAAAAAAAACTTAAAAAAAAAAAAAAAAAAAAAAGCCAGCACCAGGGAGGCCAAGACAGGCTTAACTCCCTGGGACTCACTGGCCAGTCAGGCTAGCCTTATCAAAAATCTCGAGGCCAATGAGAGACCCTGTCCTAAAAACAAGATGGGTGCTGGAGAGAGAGCTCAGCAGTCAAGAGCACTCGCTGCTCTTGTAGAAGAGCTGGGTTCAGTTCCCAGCATCCACATGGCTGCTCCAGTTCCAGGGGATCTGACACCCTCTCCTGGCCTCCACGGGTATTGCATGCACATGTGCACTTACATGCACGCAGGCAAATAACTCATAAAATTTTTTTAAAAAAGGCAAGGTAGATGGCTCCTGAGGAATGAATGACATCCACAGTTGGCCTATGGCCTCCATACATGTATACACATAAATGTACACACACACAAATAAATTACAACTACTGGATTTTTTTTACCATGAACTTACCATGAACTTATACACTTTTAAAAAAAATTCAGTGATGTAGCAAAAATGGAAATAAGCAAAAGATTAGGATATAAAATTTACTATAATTAGAAAGCGAAAACACAAAAATATAAACATAAACTGATACATACATAGCTCTCCAATGCAAAAGTAAACCAAAATGCTTACAGTGGTTGTTTACCTCCACAGAGCTGGCACCTGCTGTGCAATAAATATTTGTTGTTACTTAAGTACTGGGATGAGAAATGTAGTCATCTATTTTCTACTTTGTTATGAGATTATATGATTTTTATAATGAAAAAATTTAAGTGCCATATATAAAAGACTACTTTCATAATATAGAAGCAGTGATACTGGGGGAGGACTTTAATATTTTTATAGAAAGATATCAAGTATCAGACTGGTAACAAATCATGGTTAACAACAGGAACACCAGGCCATTTGAACTAATGAAATTTGAAGATATAACACTTCAACGTTTCCGGCGAGTCTGGAATTTGTAAATAGCTGGGGAGTTCACTGTTTCTTTCTTCACCTTCACCTTCTGAGTTTTATCCTGTAAGAGTAAAAAGGTGGTCGGTAAACGGAAATAGGGTTTTGTAAAGAAGTAAGGTCAATAAGCTAGCTAAGAGAAAGCCTCTGACACAGCCCTGCTCAAGGTTCAGAAGAGACAGAACCTTGGCCTTCCTGTGTGCAGTGAGTCAGCCATCCCCAGGGTGCCCAGAAAGCACTAGCTGTGTACAGTCCTGGTGAAAATTGAGAAGAGGTGCTAAAGTAATTATTTTGTTTAAAATCATAATTTTAATTCTCTCACAGAACCTCAGTTAAGAAAGGCTGACCTAAATGATCTGCAAGGCTAAAGAATCTGACATTTAGAGGAATGATAATATGAAAGAGGCATCTTATATTCCTTAGCTGTGCTATTTAACTACACAATGTTGTCTATTTTTAAACACCAGTGAGTGACATGCACTGTTTTGTTAACCTGTTTAAATGTTACGGGAGCTGCTCATAAGCTATAAAGTTCATATGCTACCTGATCCTACCCTTTGCTGTTCCAAGGCACTGACTAATAACCCCCTTATTACCTTCTTAATCAAGGAACATTTCAACACTGTCAGAGCAATGTACACTGGCTCAAACCACTGCCCCTGAGGAGCAGACATTTTCACTGGGGTTGATTTACACACAGCTGAAATCCAGTCTCAGTTAAGACCTTTATAGAAAAAAAAAAGAAGAAAAAGAGACGGCCCAAGGCTCTCTCTTCTCACCATAAGATCTTTTCGTGTTTGAATTTTCTGGGCAATAACGAATAATTTCTTCTCCCGTTCAATCCGCTGTGTCAAGCAGTCATACTGCCTTTGTCTTTCTTTAGCTATCCGCTAGAAAGGAATATATATTTTCAAAAAAACAATTAACAAGGCAAAAATGAGTAAGAAACTGGTACTTGAGCCCAAATGCATAAATGGTTGCATCAACTCTCTCCTCACTCCAGAATCAAGGTGTCGACTTCAAAATTACCACATTCTAGAACTGAAAGCAATCGTGGAGTTTATCTTATCAAAATCTATCTTTTGGGGGGGGATGGGAGGAGTTTGAGACAAGGTCTCCCTTTAGCCCCAGCTGGCTGGAACACACTATGTAGACCAAGCTGGCCTTGATCTCAGAGAGCCACCAGTCTCTGCCTCCCAGGTTCTAGGATTAAAGGTGTGTGCTGTGCCACTATATCCAGCAAAATCTGTCATTTTACAAATGCAGAATAAGGCCCAGAAAAGAAAATTAACTGGCTCAAAGACAGAAGGTTCACCTAGAGCAGAGTCAGGGCTGCCCTGGGCCCCCTGGTTCCAGGAATGTCCCCAGTGCTACACTAATCAGTTTCAACCTCTGTTACAGGAGATGAGGGTAGCAACAGACCAGTAACTAGAGAGTCTGCAGAGTGAACAGAGCAGCAGAAGGGCCAGCAAGCAGTGTGCTGAAACTCTGAAACTCAAAGGGCAGAGGGATTATTTTCAGTGGGAATGACCCATAAAGGACTCCTCAGAGACCACTGGTGTCCTTGAGTTTCAGAGAATCCTAAGCCTCTGAGAAAATGACAGAAACTTTGGCTTCTTCATTGAGATAACATACAAATTATCACATATCCGTAATGTTTAGGGCCAGAAGTGCTTAGGATTTCGAATTTTAGGTGGGATTTGGAATATGTGCATGTACATGAGATAACTTAGGGATGAGACCCAAGTCTAAATATGAGATTCATTTATTTTTCATATATTCCTTACATATACAGTCTGAAGATAATTTTACATAGTATTTTTAGTGTGTCTGCATTTTGACTGTGGCCCATCATATGAAGTCAGGTGTGGAATTTTCCACTTGTGATTCATTTTGGCACTCAAAAAAATTCACAATTTGCAAGATTTCAGATTTTGCTGTTTGGGATTGAGACTGTTCAACCTGAACATACACATATGCACAAATGTGTACATATGTACATGCAAAGTTTCCGTGTGAAAAGCAGACGCCCACAGACCTCCTCAAAGCCATTCATATATTTTGTCCCACCCAGAAGCTGCAGCTGTGCAGTCTACTCAGCAGCAGTCACTTAATAAAAATAACTGTGCTTAGGGGGAAAACAAAACAGTAAGAGCAATAACAACAAAAAACTACACTTTAAACAAAGCAATCAAACCAAATGCCCCTTGCCAAAAATGGCAAGACCCAAACCTTATCTTCTTAAAATTTTTTTTATTTGTTTTTTTTTTGTTGTTGGTTTTTTTTTGAGACAGGGTCTCCCCATGTAGCCCCTACTGGCCTGGAACTCGATACGTAAACCATCCCAGGCTCACTTTGATCTCACCTGCCTCTGTCTCCCAAGTGCTGAGACTAAAGGCATGTGCCACCACCCCCAGCCCCTTTTTAATCATCTTCACAGATATAATGATAAACTGTTCTAAATAGAGGCTAGAATACTGATCTCTTCAAGGACTACTGTACTACTTGACAAGTTTCAGTGTCGCAGCTAACTGCAAATAAAATTGTCAAACAGGGTTATCACAAGAATACCAGTCAGCCAGCTCCTCAGCTGGAAGTGCTACCTAGATACAGGGGAATATTACTGGGCCTCAGACTTCAACAATTCACCAATTCTAGCATAGTCTCACAGCAGTGGTTTCAGACAGCTTTTGTTTTCACTTTATTGCACAGACTGTCAAATTTATGGGATTACCCAATATAGTCAAACTAATTAGGGGTATTTATATTACTAAAGCAACTTTAGCTGCCTCTGAGCTAGAGAAAACTGCTGTGAAATTAAACATTGGAAGCAAAACTGATGCGGTGTAAATGATTCAAATCAAAACAGAACAGCTGTCTTGCTTGAAACACATTGACAGCATTTTTTTAATGAATCACTCAGAAGTGAGAGTTCAACTCCAGAAGGCTTTGAGAAAAAACCTGTCTTCTCTACAACCCAGTCATTGTGATAGAAAGCACCATAAGGAAAAGTCAATACAAAATTTTGGTCAGAAATGCATTACATGAGAAACATTTTAATACGCACAGTCATTGCTAAAGGTTCTAGATCAAAGCACTATACACCACACCCTAAGTCTCTGATGTTCTTTCCTGCTCTGCATTTTAAAATGCTGACAAAGGATACAAGCATTAAAGCACAGAGCACAGGGTTAGAGCTGTGGTCAAGCTCCTGACCATTATGGCACATTGCCTTCAAAAAAACTCAAGGAAGCGCCCTCCACCTCTATCCCCATTACCAACCTCTTTCCACTTTGTTAAACAAATATTAGTTTTCCATAAATAATTACATGAAATACAGTAGCAAAAACAAAGTACCACAAATAAATAAAGAAAACTTGAGATTGCCCCAAGAACCACAGAGAAACTCACCTTAAGTCCAGTCTGACGTGTAACTCCTTTCACCTTTTCCTTCTGCAAGGTCTCTAGTCTAGGTCTATTAAAGACTCTGTCAACTAGTTCAGGGGCTGTTTGCAAGTGAGTTGCAATATCAAACTGTTCAACTAAAATTCAAGACAGTTGTTAAAGCAGAGGTGTCTTTAATACCAAACATCAAAGTGATAAGGCAGAGTGTCCCAGAAACCAACATTTCATACCTTCCTTTTTGGTGTCAAAAAAGAACACATGTTTATTCTGTTGCTTCCCCTGGAAATCCAGCAGATGGAGCTCTGATTTCAATCTTTCAATTTTCTAGAATAGGGAATATGGTCTTATTTTAAATTTGGTTCTGGAGTGTCAGAAATAAATTTGCAAAAGCTTTAAACATTTTACATCATTACTATCAGCCAGCAAAGAATTGGTTTCACTCTTTCTGCTTTTTTGTTTTTGTTTTTTTTTTTTGAGACAGGGTTTCCCTGTAACCACAGCTGGCTGCCCTCCATCTCACAGAGAGATTCACCTGCCTCTGCCTTGGCGTGCTAGGTAGGATTAAAGGCCTGCACCACCATGCCTGGCCCTTTCTTTTGTTTTTTGGGTTTTTTTGATCTTTTTGAGACAGGGTCTCCTTGCAGCCCCAGCTGGCCTGGAACTCACAGAGATCCGCCTGCCTCTGCCTCCCAAGTGCTGGGATTAAAGGTGTGCGCCACCACACCCAGCTTCTTTTGTATTTTTAGGTTATCGTACCAAGCACTGGGTATCCTCATGGCATCTTCATACATATGTGTCATATTATACTCTGTTCTCAATGGTTTCATTCTTTTAAACAAAAGGAGCACAAAAACTTATGGCACCAACTATGTATCAGGTACTAGAGATATAAACTCAATAGATATATAAAACTCAGTATTCACAATAATCCTACACAATAGAAAGGAGCATTCCTGAGGAAGTTAACTGGTCCATATCACGGAGCTAGTAAATGGGAGAGTCAGAATTTAATCTTCATCTGTCTCATTCTCAAACCTGCACTGTACTCCACCATGCCGAGTATACTTCTAAGCCATTAGGACAACCAAACACACTCTAAGAATGTAAATGCCAAAAGAAATCAGCCAATAATTTGAGATCGATGGTTTTGCTTTTGTTGTTGTCATTTAAACCAAGGTCATACTATGTTCTGCCTCCTGCTCCCAAGAGCTGAGATTACATGTATACACCACCTCAACCTGTTTCCTTTCTGAACCAACCAAGGAAAAGACATCAGAACAAAGAATTGTTACCTTAGCTTCTGCAACCCTTTTCATTTCTATATACTTGACATCCTGAGTTCTCATCAGCTTTAGCTGCTCTGGTGTCACTTCTTCCTTGGTCTCCTTAATAATATGAACTCCATCCTAAAATTGAAATTTCAAAGATACAGTCCCTAGGAGAATACGATCACTGATAAATTGCTAGCATAATTCATGGTTAATCCAAGACATCAAATGGTGAATGCTAAGCGTAATCCAAGGCACTAGAGGCACTAGGTTCTTCTCCAGCAAAGCACCTCCAGTCATTTACTCTTAGGACACCCCAAGGCACAAGACAACTCAATACATAAGGAAGAATGTGGGATGGGGATGTAACTGAGCAGTACCATACTTGTCTAGCATACACAAGAACTAGGTTCCATCTAACACCACCAAAACTAAAAACAAACAAGCAACAACAGAAAAAAAACAAACAGGAGATGGTACAAAAGAAGGAATGTATGAGAGGTGGCTCAGAGGTTAAAAGCACCAGCCTTTCTTGCAGAGGACCTAGTTTCAGGTTCTCAGCAACCACATAGCAGCTAACAATTCCAGTTCTAGGGGATCAGGCACCCTCTTCTGGCTTCTGTGGGCACTGCACATACATGCAGGCAATACAGGCGCATAAAATAAAAATAAATTTAATTTTTTTTTTTTTTTTTGCCTTTTTGAGACAGGGTCTTCCTGTAGCCCCAGCTGGCCTGGAACTCGCTATGTAAACCAGGCTGGACTCAAACTTACAGAGATCCACCTGCCTCTGCCTCCCGAGTGCTGGGATTAAAGGCATGTACCACCATGCCTGGCTTTAAATTTTTATTTTATTTTATTTTTGTCTTTTTGAGACAGGGTCTCCTTGTAGCCCCAGCTGTCCTGGAATTCACTATGTAGACCAGGCTGGCCTTGAATTCACAGAGATCCGCCTGCCTCTGCCTCCCAAGTGCTGGGATTAAAGGCGTGCACCACCATGCCCAGCCTTAAATTTTTATTTTTAAAAAAGAAATTCAGAAGCTGGAGAAACAACTCAGCAGTTAAGAACACTGGCTGTTCTTGCAGAAGACCCAGGTTCGAATCCCAGCACCCACATGGCAGCTAACAACTATCTGTAACTCCAGTTCCAGGGGATCCAACATCCTCCTCTGACCTCTGCAGGCATTGCACGACACAGGTGCACTTACCTACATGCAGGCAAAACCTGCATACACATTAAAAAAAAAAAAAAAATTAAAAAAAAAGAAATGCATGAAGATCAAGAAAACACACAAAAAAAAACAAGGTAAAAAATACAAATAAAAAAGGGCTGTAGAAATGGCTCAGCAGTTAAGAGTGTTTACTACTCTTCCAAAGGACTTGAGTCCACAGCCACCTATAACTCTAGCTCCAGGGGAATCTAACACCCTCTTCTGGACTCCTTAGACACCTTTACTCACATGCACATACACATAGAAACACATAGACACATATACATAATTAAAATAAATTTTAGAAAATAAGACCTTGGGAGACTAGACAGGTGGCTCAGCAGTTAAGAACACTGAGTGCTCTTGCAGAGGACCCAGGTCCAGCTCCCAGCACCCACATGGCAGCTAACAACTATTTGTAACTCCAGTTCCAGGGAAATTCAATGCCCCCTTCTGACCTCCACAGGCACTGAAGGACATGAGTGCACTTACATACATGCAGGCAATATACTCATATACATTTAAAAAAAAAGAAAAAACAAAAAGACCTTAGACATTAACCAGAAACAACTAGAGAAACTGGAGAAGGACCAAATTAAAACCACAGATGCTTCCACTCTCCCCCTAGTTTCCAACAAATAAGACTCAAAACAACTACTATTACCATTTTGCACCTACCTGGAGTTTAACCCGCGTCATTTTATAGTAGAATTCATCTGGATTTTTTTCAAGAGCTTTCTTCCGGAGAGCTCTGAGGAATTCTCGTTTTTTATGATAGTCACTAAAAAGCAAGTAAAATGACATTCATTACAAAAGAAGAAAAAAATCACCACCCACATAAATGAGTCAGCTCCATGCATCAAAAAATTCATAAGCTAGGGAGCTGAAGAGCTGGCTCAGTGGTTAAGAGCACTAGCTGCTCTTGCAGAGTATCAGGTTCGAGTCCCAGCACCCACATGGCAGCCAACAACCATCTTCAACTCCAGTTCCAGGGGATCCAGTGCCCTCTTCTGACTTCTGCAGTTATTGCTCAACATGTGTATGTTTACATACATATAGGCTATATACTCATACATATAAAACGATAAACTAAAAATTTAAAATAATAAAAGTTTATAAGCCAAATGCAGTGGTGCACACCTATAACCTCAATACTTGGGAAGCTGAGGCAAGAGAACCACGTATTTAAGGTCAGTCTGGCCTACAGGGGGTTAGAAAAGCAAACAAACAAAACAAAAACCCCAAGCAGTGGCCCAGTCACAATCTAATAGTCCTCTGTCCCAATCATACCTAAAATTAACTGTCTCTATCCCACATCTGTCTTAGAGCCACTTAAGTCATTACAGGATACACCAAATAAAGAACAACTTACAGCCGGGCATAGTGGCGCACACCTTTAATCCCAGCGCTTGGAGACAGAGGCAGGCAGAGCTCTTCAAGTTCAAGGCCAGCCTGCTCTACATAGTGAGTTCCAGGACAGCTGGGGCTACAGGGAGACTCTGTCTCAAAAAGACCAAAAAAAACCAAGAACAGCTTACAACTCTTAACAGAGTTACGGCACAAGCTTCAATGCCAAATAACTGACATGATTCAGGAACTACACACTGCCACGTAGAGGGATGACTAGAATGGTTAACTCTAGCCATACTGTGTGGCTTTGAATCTAGAATCCACAACTTCTGGCTAAGTAACTCTGGGTAAGTTAAATAACCATTCTAATCCTAATTTCATATATAAAGTGAGTGTAACAGCAGCCTATTCCAGAAAAAGTTGGAATAAACATACAAACTATATCTCCTAGACCACTGTCTGGCCCAATCACAGCACTCAATATTGGGGCTCAGTGGTAGAGGGCTTCCTTCACATGCAGGAGACCCTAGGTTCAATCCCCAGCCCAACACACACAAAAAGGAAACCAATCACAGCACTCGATTATTACTATTAGAATTATTACTATTAGCTTCACAAGCTCTGGTACAGCTTGGCATGGTGAGGCACACCCTGTAATCCCAGCATTCAAGAGGCTGAGGCCAGAGAACTTTCACTTGAGACCAGCCTAAACTACACAGAGATGTCTCAAAAAAAAAAAATTAACTAGGGGCTGGAGAGTTGGCTCAGTGATCGGTTAAGAGTACTGACTGTTCTTGCAGAGGACCTGGGTTCGATTCTCAGCACCCACATGGCAGCTAACAACCAGTTCCAGGAGATCTGACACCCTCTTCTGACCTCCTAGGGCAGAGCACAACACAGGTACATCTACCTACATGGAAGCAATATACCCATACACATTATATAAAAATTTTAAAAATTTTTAATTAATTAAAAATTAAAAAAAAAAAAAAAAGCTGGTCATGGGGCTGGAGAGATGGCTCAGCGGTTAAGAACACTGACTGTTCTTGCAGAAGACCTGGGTTCAAATCCCAGCACCCACACGGCAGCTAACAACTGTCCGTAACTCCAGTCCCAAGAAATCTGATGCCCTCTTCTGACCTCTGCAGGCACTGCACTACCTGGGTGCACTTAACCTACATGCAGGCAATACACGCATACACACAAAATAAAAATAATAAAATTAAAAAAAAAAAAAAGAAGTCGGTCATAAGGGCCAGAGAGATGACTCAGCAGTTAAGAGCGCTCTGGGTTCAATTCTTAACACCCACATGGTGGCTAACAACTGAGTGGAACTCCATTTCTAGGAGATCCAACACCATTTTCTGGCCTATTCAGGCATTATGCAACACAGGTGTACTTACACACATGCAGACAAAACACTCAATACACATAAAATAAAAATTAATTTTAAAAAAGCCAGGTATGGTGGTATATACCTTTAATCTCAGCACTCAAGAGGCAGAGGCACTTGATCTCTGTGAGTCCAAGGTCAGCTTGGTCTACACAGTGAGTTCCAGGCCAGTTAGGGCTACACAGTGAGACTCTGTCTCAAATAACTAAAATTTAAAAGTTTGTAAAGCTGGGACCTACAGAAATCCGTTTATCCATCAATACCACCCATGCCCAGAGCATAAGAAAGCCCTCAGCTGACTTATATAGCTAATAAATAATTACAAGCATTTTGCAAATGAAGTGCTAAAAGAAAAAGAATGGACGTAACTGTTTTATAAAATGCTTTCGGGGTTCATCATCACCCACTCTCAGCCTCATGAATCCATCTTTCATATCTCTTCATTCCATCACACATACTGATATAAAAGTCTCAACAAATGGAATTTACATTGTATCTACCACTTCAAAGCGAGAGAGAAAAAAATTAGGTATTTGAGTTGGGTATGGTGGCACACAACTTTAATCCCAGCAGAGGCAGACAGAGCTCTGTGAGTGGGGAGGATAGCTTGATCTACATAGAAAGTTCTAGGCCAGCCAGGGCTACTACACAAGTAAGACTATGTCTCAATAAAAAAGACTCGGCATTTTGTTCAAACACCAAGGCAGAGGCAAATCAACACAATGAGAGAATGATCTGGAAGAACATAATAAAAAAGATTTACAATGCACTACTTAAATAAATAATGCTCTGCCTGAACAAAGAGAAGCTTAAGGTCATGGAAAAATATCTAACAGTGCCAAAGCTTTGGCCACTTTATCAATGGCAGCAAATTATTCCCAGTTGGACACTTGGGCGCTTCAGCTACGGTGTGGGGATGTTGTAAGCTTTCTTGGCAGCACCACTACCAGAAAAACTGGACTCAGACTCACTCCGCACGAAGTTTGTAATCTTTCTTTTTCTCCAGCAAGCCCAGATGTTTTCGAAAGCCAGGCTAAAAGACAAAAGACAAAAAAATAAGTACAAACACATGTTCCATCAACAGGCCATCCCAAGAGTCTCTGTACAGCAAATCTATGTCCTTAAGAGCCAACCCACTACCCCACTCCTCCCTCCTCCCCCTTACTGGGCCCTACTGTGACCAGGCAGGTCACAAGCACCACCATAGTATGTTTCTTGGCCTATTAAGGACAGAGAGGGGCAACAATGACTCGGGACTAAACAAGCAGTTGCCAGTTGTACTAAAATTACTACCAACTTAATCCAAGGGCTTATAAAATACTATGAAGGGAAAACACAGTAACAGGAGACAACTGTGGTAAGGGAGCTAAATTTAGAGTCTGTAGACTTAGGTTCCATCTAAGCTTTCTCTCTTAACAATCTGTGACCTTGGGCAAGTCACTTAACTGCTCTGAGCTGTCATTTCCTAACCGTTAAATGAAAATAGTAAAGCTGACTAAGGCAATGCTTACCTGCAATCCCAGCACAGGGAGACTAAGGGAGGTAAGGGAGGAGGACTCAAAGTTCAAGGTCAGCCCAAGTTACTACTATGTAGTAAGACAAAAAAAAGAAAGAAAGAAAACAATAGTACTTACCTCATAATGATTCAGTGAGCCTCTGAGTGGTAAGGTATGAGGCAAAACCAAGAATGATGGGAAAGCATTTTCTCTGACACAGATTTAGATAGCATGGAGGGAACAAGGAGTAAATCTTAATGTTATCCTCTAAAAACTACCATTTATTTAAGTGCTTAATATGCATCAGGTTAAATTGGGTGTGATGGTACATGCTTGTAATCCCAGCACTTGGGAGATGGAAGCAAGAGAATCAGTAGTCCAAGGCTAGCCTAGGCTACATGAGACCCTTTTAAATTAAGTGTATATCTGTGTATGTGTGTTAGATGCATTTGCACTTTTTTTTTTTTTAACTTTTTGAACCAGGGTCACTATGTTACCCAGATTGGCCTTGAATTCAATTCATAATCCTCATGCCTCCACCTCCAGAGTGCTGGCATAGGCATATGCCAAACCTGGCTTTGATTAGGTGCTGGGGTTCAAATGCAAAGCTTCACGCATGCTACTTACTGCTGAGTTACAGCCCTAGCTCTGCCTACATCATCTTAATAGCTCACATTTATTATACACCTACTCTATTTCAAAGCAATGTGTTATGCTTGTTACATAGTATTATTTAATCTCTACAACAATTATAATAAAGGACAGACAATTTTACTAAATTTCCAGGAGGGAAATGAAGTTTACAGAACATGTTTAAGAGCGCAAAACTGCCACGTGTGGTGGCATGCCCCTTTAATCCCAGCACTCTGGAGGCAGAGGCAGGTGGATCTCTGTGAGTTCAAGGCCAGCCTGGTCTACATGGTCAGTTCCAGGTCAGCTGGGGCTACAGGGAGACCTTGTCTCAAAAAGATTCCACCCCCTCCCCACAAAAAAAAGAATACCAAGACTGAGGATGTAGCTCAGTTTGGTAGAATGTTTGTCTAGCATGCACAAAGCCCACAGCACCACATAAACCAGACATGGTGACACACACCATAGGAAAAGCCATGGCCAGCCTGGGATACGTAAAACCCTGTCTCTGTGTCACTGTCACACACACACACACACACACACACACACACACACACACACAATGTAGAACCAGTAAGCTCCAAAACTAAAGCTGGGACCTCTTCCATCTGGGCCAGTCTATGATGTTTCACAGCCCACGAGACTATCCTCTTGCCCTGAATAACCCTGAGGCAGGTTATCATACAGTCCTGACAAACTTCAAACTCATGATCCTCCTGCCTCAGCCTCCTAAATGCTAAGATTAGAGGCATGCACTCTTTGTGGTTGACTCCTCCCCCTCCCCCTCCCTTCTCAAGACAGGGTCTCATTCTGTAGTCCAGGTTGGCCTGTAACTCGCTGTTACTCAGAACAGGGCTGGCAATACTCCTGCCTCAACCTGCTGAGTGCTGGAGATAATAGGTATGTGCCACAACCTGCTCTTAAACAATTTGGACTTCTGAGGAGGTATATACATTCCTCTACTGTTTAAATTTGGGATAATAATTTGGGTGGGATTTTTACAGTCACTTTTGTCTTTTTTTTTTTTTTCGTCTTTTTGAAGCAGGGTCTCCCTGTAGCCCCAGCTGTCCTGGAACTCACTATGTAGACCAGGCTGGCCTCGAACTCACAGAGATCCACCTGCCTCTGCCTCCCAAGTGCTGAGACTACAGGTGTGCGCCACCACACCCGGCTTTTTTTGTCTTTTTGAGACAGGGTCTCCCTGTAGCCCCACCTGTCCTAGAACTCACTATGTAGACCAGGTTGGCCTTGAACTCCCAGAGATCCGCCTGCCTCTGCCTCCCGAGTGCTGGGATTAAAGGTGTGCACCACCATGCCTGGCCACTTTTGTCATCTTTTAAAATAACAGGGATGGCAAGATGATTCAGCAGGTAAAAGTGCCTACCACCAAGCCTGGTGACCTGACTTCAAGCCTTGGGACCCACATAATGGAAGGAGAGAGCTGACTCCCTGCAAGATGTCCTCTGACCTCTACAACCACTCCCTGGTATGTGCACCCACACATGCACAAATAAATGTAATTTTAAAAAGTTTTTAAAAGTAAAATATCAGGGCTGTAGAGATGGCTCAGCAGTTAAGAGCACTGATTACTCTTGCAGAGGACCGGGGTTCAATTCCCAGCACCCACATGGCAGCTACGAACCATCTTTAACTCCAGTTCCAGGGGAATCCAAAGCCCTCTTCTGACCTCCATGGCATTGCACGACACAGGTGC